CCCCCCTCCCCAAAGTGCCCCCCCGTCCCATCGGGGCGGTGCGGTTCTCCCCAGTCCCAGCGGTTCGGGTCCGCCCCGGGGTCGGGCGGTGCCGTTGCCGCCCCTCCGCGGTGACATCAGCCGTGAAAAGGGCGCGGGCGGCGGCATCCGCCACTCCGGGACCGCACCGGGACCGGGATCGGAACCGCAGGTACCGAACGGGGCGGGGGGCACCGACCGGGGGGTGGGAGCGGGGTGGGTACCGGGAGAGATGGAGGTGGGCACGAAGGAGGGGTTTGTATGTATTGGGGGGGGGGGGTGTAGGCACCGGGATGGGGTCTCCGGCTCGGGGTCTTCAGCTCGGGGGTCTCCGTTCAGCCTCCGTTGTTCTGGTCCATAACGGCGGTTCCGAGCTGGCCCGGAGCCGCTGCGGGGTAACGGCACCGCGCACCGCGCCCAGGAACGGCAACGGGAGCGGAGCTGGGTGCGGCTTCCGGCCCCGCAGCCCTGGCCGGAGGGGGGGGGGGGAAAGTGGGGGGCGAGCGGCTGTCGGAGCGCTGCTGAACCCCCCCACCCCCATGTCCTGGGGGTCCCTTCATGGTCCATCCGAGGGTCCTCACCGTGTCCCGCGTGGGGACCGCGTGCGCTCTTTGCGCACCACCTGGGGGTCGCCTCCCCATTTGGGTCCGTCCGTCCCCCGTCGTCCCCCCTCCTCGTGGTGGTTCTGTGCGCTCTGGGTCGGCTCACGCCCCCTCCTCATTGCCCCCTCCTCATTACCCCCTCCTCAGTGTCTGTGTCCTCTGGGACCCGCCCCCCTCCCCACCCACCCCTCTCTACCCCCCAGCATGGCAGTGTCCTCATCGATTTTGGGCACCACCAGACCGTGGGGTGGAAATGGGGGTCTGCAATGACACCGACCTCCCCCCTACTCACCCACCCCCCGAATCCAGACAGCTTTGTTCCCCACCCATTGGCTTCAGGCCCCGGGGAGCACCTTAAAACCTCCATTCCCCCCCCCCTCTGTGATGGCACTGGGAGCCCCAGTGAGACTTTGGGTGCCATTGGTGGCATTTGGGTGATTTCCAGTTTGGAGTGTTTTCAAGGTTTTGGGGCAAACTGGTGAGGTTGGGATGACCTCGAGGTTGGGGTACCTCAGTGGCATTGGTGGAACTGTGGTGCCCCAGTGATATTGGGATGACCCTGATGGCATTAAGGTGGTGTTGGGGTGACCTCGGGGGCATTGGGGTGCCTTAATGGTGTTGGGGTGACCCTGGTGGTGTTGGGACGCCTTGGTGACATTGGGGTGACCTCAAAGCATTGGGGTATCTTGATGGTATTGGGTTAACCTCAAGGTTGGGGTGACCCCAAGATATTGAGGTACTTTGTTGGCATTGGGGTGACCCGATGATGTGGGGTGACCTCAAGGTATTGGGGTGAACCCAGTGACGTTGGGATGCCCAAGTGACACTGGGGTTCCTTGGTGGCATCGGGGTGACCTCAAGGTTGGGGCACTTCGGTGACATTGGGGTCCCCCACATCTGGGGTTGTACAATGGGGTCCAGGCTCAGCCCAGCCATATTTCCCCCCTCTAAGAGGACCTTTGGGGGGAGCAGTGCAGAATGCATAACCCCATATGCCCATCGAATGGCTGTAGGGTATTGGGAGCACCCCAATATGGGCAGCATTGGGATGTTGTCACCCAGCCCTGGGGACCACCAGGCTCTGCACCCCATAGTGCCCTGTAGGATGGGAGTCAGGCACCGTTCCTGGGGCGTGTGGGGCTGTTGGGGTTTGTGGTGTGGGGCTCCCAGGGCAGCTCCCGGATCTGGCTCCGATCCCATACAAACGGGTGCAGTTTTGCAAACATTCAGTGAGCAGCTGCCAAAAAAATCTGAGCCAACACAATGGGGGAACTGGGGGAACCAAGCTGGGGCTTGAGGTGGGTTGGTTTGGGGTTAGGGTTTAGGGTTGGGGGGTTTGGTTTAGGGTTGAGGGTTGGGATTTAGGTTTGGGGTTGGTGGTTCAGTTTAGGGCTGGGGTTTGGGATTGGGTTTTCGGGGTTAGAGTTGGTGGTTGAGGTTTAAGTTTGGTGTTTGGGGCTTGGGATGGAGTTTGGGGTTGGGTGGGCATGGAGTGGTGCTGCTATTGGGATGGCAATGTGGGGGGACCCCAAGGGGACCTTTGGAAGGGGTTGGTGGTTGAGGTTTAGGTTGGAAGTTTAGGGTTGGGTGGGCACATGGTGGGGTGCCACCATTGGCATGGCAACGTGGGGGGACCCCAAGGGGACCTTTGGATGGGGTTGGGGTTGGGTGGGCACATGGTGGGGTGCCACCATTGGCATGGCAACGTGGGGGGACCCCAAGGGGACCTTTGGATGGGGTTGGGGTTGGGTGGGCACATGGTGGGGTGCCACCATTGGCATGGCAACATGGGGGGACCCCAAGGAGACCTTTGGATGGGGTTGGTGGTTGGGGTTTAGGGTTGGGTTTGGGTTGGCACACGGTGAGGTGCCACCATTGGGATGGTAAAGCGTGGGGACACCAAGGAGGGGCTGTGCACCCCATTGCTGTCACCACGGCACCGGGCAGGAAGCAGGGAGCGCCTGGCACGGGCGATAAGGTCCAGACAGACATCCCAGGGGAAGGGCAGTGCCAGGAGGTGTCACCACGTCCCTAAGGGAGGATGAGTGACACAGAATGTCCCCACAGGCATGGCAAACCGGGGACCATCGTATGGGCTGAGCCGGGAGGTGCAGCAAAAGATTGACCGTCAGTACGACCCCGAGCTGGAGCAGCTTTTGGTGCGCTGGATGGTGGGGCAGTGCGGTGAGGACATCCTCCAACCCACGCCTGGACGTGATGGATTTCAGCAGTGGCTCAAGGATGGCACCGTGAGTCCTTGATGGGAACGTGGGGACTGCAGGGGGGGGGGTCGTGGTGTCCCCTCGGTTGATATTGGGGTGGTCGTGGTGCCACCACATTGGGGTGGTTCCCTTACCTGATGTTGTGGTGCCATCAGATTGAGGTGGTCATGGTGACCCCTTATCTCATGTTGGGGTCATCGTGGTGCCATCATATTGGAGTGGTCTTGGTGATCCCTTATCCGACCTTGGGGTCATCATGGTGCCATTGCCTTGGGGAGGTCACAGTGTCCCCTCTCTTGATGTTGGGGTGGTCATGGTGCTACCATATTGAGGTGGTCCTGGTGTCCTCTTACCTGATGTTGGGGTCATCATGGTGCCACCATATTGAGGTAGTTTGGGTGTCCCCTCACCTAACATCAGGGTCATCATGGTGTCATCATATTGGGTTGGTCATGGTGTCCCCTGACCTGACATTAGGGTCATCATGGTGTCATCATATTGGGGTGGTCATGGTGTCCCCTCACCCAACATTGGGGTTATCATGGTGCTACCAGACTGGAGAGGTTATGGTGCCCCATATTGAGGTGGTCCTGGTGTCCCCTCACCTAACATTGGGGTCATCATGGTGCCATCATATTGGGGCAGTCACGGTGACTCCTTATCTGATATTGGGGTCGTCATGGTGCCATTGCTTTGGGGTGCTCCTGGTGTCCCCTCTCTTGATGTTGGGCTCATCATGCTGCCACCACATTGGAGAGGTCGTGGTATCACCACGTTGGGGTGATCTTGGTGCCACCATGACCCTATTTTTTGTCACCACCGATGCCACCAGGTCCTGTGCCGCCTCATCAACAGCCTCTATCCTCGAGGCCAAGCACCGGTGGCCAAAATCCAGGCATCTACCATGGCCTTCAAGCAGATGGAGCAGATCTCCCAGTTCCTGCAGGCAGCTGAGCGTTACGGCATCGCCGCCACCGACATCTTCCAGACGGTGGATCTGTGGGAAGGTGAGGGCTGGGGACGATGGGGTGACACCCAAATGTCCCCAAAGTGGGGTGTGGGGTGGTGACACCACGTTGGCACCACGCAGGGAAGAACATGGCGTGCGTGCAGAGGACGCTGATGAACCTGGGCAGCTTGGCGGTGGCCAAAGGCGATGGGCTCTTCGTGGGAGACCCCAACTGGTTCCCTAAGTAGGTGATGGGGGTCTTGGGGGTTGGGGTAATAATGGTGCTGGTGGGGGGTGATGTGGGTTGATTCCCATGGTGGTGGCCGTAGGAAATCACAGGAGAACCGCCGCGTCTTCTCGGAGGATAAACTGAAGGAGGGGCAGAGCGTCATCGGGCTGCAGATGGGCACCAACCGTGGTGCCTCGCAGGCGGGCATGACCGGGTATGGGATGCCCCGACAGATCCTCTGAACGGCCCCAAAACACCCCCCCCCCCACCCCAACCCCAAAGCTTCCATGGGGCTTGGGGGGGGGGGGGAGAGGGGTTGGGGTCCCCAAAGCGCATCGCTCTTCCCCGTGGACCCACCCCCATGGACCAACCTATGGACCCCTCCATGGACCAACAGGGGCTGTGCCCACACAGCAGGACCAAAATCTGTGGTTTTTTTTTATAATAATTATATTGTCTCCGTGTCCCAACCCCTCCCCCCCCTCTCCTTGTCATCCCAACACCGCTGTGCCTTGGGGGGGCCGTGCTGGGGAGAGCCCCCCACCCCCCCAGTGGCTCTCGCCCCAATAAATGGCCCCTTCTTGTTTACATGGACTGAGAGTGGTTGGGGGATAGAGGGGGGGGATGGGGGGTGTCCCCACAAGCATGGGGCCTAATGGCTTTTGGGGTAGGTAAGAGGCAACGGGGGGTCTGGGTGTGGGGTGGGGGCACTCACTCCATGGGTGGGGGGGTCTGGTGGTATGAGGGGATGGGGGAGGAAACCCCACCCCCCATCTCCACCCCAAGGGATCCTAGCAGAAGGTGGGGGCAGCCCTGGGCTTCGAATGTGGAGGTGGGTGAGCACGTGGGGGGGCGTGGCTAACAGGAAGGGGGCGGGGCTAGGACAAAGGGGCGGGGCTATGGGAAGGGGGCGGGGCTTGAAGGGCGGGTGAGGCGATGCTGAGCACCACGTGGGGGGGGGAGGGGAAGGCTGGAACACACGTGGAGGGGACGCGTGGGGACACACGTGAGGAAGGGGACGCTCAGACACGGGGACGCGACTGGGAACACACAGTGAGGGTGATGGGAGGGGCACAAATGGTGACAAACGGGAAAGGGACACGAATGGGGCCACCCACGCGTGGAGACGCGTCTGGGAACACGCGGGGATGGGGACAGGATGAGGACAGCCGGAGCCACGCGTGGAGGTGACACCGCCGGAGCTACGCAGGCGCAGCCGGGGCCGAACACCCCCCAGCGACCATAGAGTCGGCTCCGCGCTGCCTAGAGCGGCCCCTCCGCGCCGGCCCCGCCCCCCCGCGCGTCTCGTTGCCATGGGAACGCGCGCTTCCGTTGCTATGGAGACGGAGCGCAGGAACGGGATGGCGAGCGCTGCCCGCGGCCTGCAAGGCCTCAACGGGACCCCCGCAAATCCCCCCGGCTCCATGCAGCCCTCCAGCCGCTTACGGAGACGGGCACGGAGTACCGAGGTGGATGAGAGCCTATTTGGGGTAAGGGGGGGGCAGTGGGGATTCTCCCACCTCCTTGGGCCTGGAACCCCCCCCCCGCCTCAGACCCCAAACAATGGGCCTGAGACCCCCCCCAGCCCTCAGAGACCCTTCCCCTTCCCCTTCCCCTTCCCCTTCCCCTTCCCCTTCCCCTTCCGTTCCCTTTTCCCTTCCCTTCCCCCTTCTCTTTTCCCTTCCCTTCCCCCTTCTCTTTTCCCTTCCCTTCCCCTTTCCCTTTT